ATACCACTTACCCCCAATTCTTTTTTTTTTTTTTTTTTGGTAGTGGGATTAAATTCAGGTCCTTGTGCTTGCAAGGCAAGCAGCAGAACCACTGAACCAAATCTCAAGCCCTTCCAAACTCTGAATATGCTCTTAATTAAACTCTAAGCTCCTGGAGGGTAAATACAACATTTGATTCAAATATGTATGATATCACATATGTATTATACATCTAAATATGTTTACATACATACAGTACCTAGGATAGTGCTGAACACAATGCATCATTCAATAATTAATGACACCGAGCTCTGTCCTTAGCTCCCTCTGCAAGACTTTCCTGCAGGCAAGCCTGTCCTCATGTCTTTGGTCATTAACTGTACATATTTCCTGCACTGTGGAGCCAGTGGGCACTCACAGGAAAGATGAGCTAAAACTTAGTTTTTCTGATTCTTTGACTGACTTAGTAGAGTTCTAGTTTTAAATACATATCATAGTCATATATTTGTCACATTTTATAACTAAAGACAAATATAAATACTATAAATCGTTCTTCTACTATAAATGGCCACAGGGGACACAATATTAAAAAGAGAGAATGCACACTTTTGGTTTAAATTTCTAAGATATACTCAAACTATACTTTTAAAGGTAAAATACAAGTTGATCAGGACAGTTGAAAAGATTTTTACTGGGCCAGGGATTTAGCTCAGTGGTTCTGCCACCTGCCTTGCAAGCTCATGGTCCTGAGTTCAATCCCCAGTACAAAAAAAGAAAAACATAAAAGGCTTTACTTACTAAAAATTATAAAATATGTAGTTCTTTCACATTTTACTTAATACAAGGTGCTTTAGGCTTAGCATCTATACATTATTCTAAAACTTATCATTTAAAAATGTGTTCTAAGTCTTTAGAAGAGCATAAAAAAGTACCAAATATGTATGATTTTTTTTTACCCTGTAGAGGTATTTTCAAATACTTTCTTCTACCTGGTGCAAAACTGAACTCCAATTTACTTTATATTACATTGTCATCAAATTTTAAATGAGAGAAACAGGGAGTAATTTTTACTAACCATGCTCATTGCCAAAAACTTTCCTGGTATTTGAATGGCAGTAAAAGCTGAAAGCTACTAACCTGAGTCATCCTGTGATTCAGGAAAATCACTTCTTGCCTTTGTAAATCATGGCAGTTTCTGCCCTCTGATAGTGACAGTTGTTTCTGATGACTCTCTCACTGGATAATGTAACTGAAAAGTTGTAGGAGTGAAATCAAACAGTGCTGTTCTTCCCATGATGAACCACTTTTTATGAGTTTCTGAAGATAATACAGATCCTGCAACAAAAAA